GACGACAGGAGGGGACGGCGGTGCGTGAATGGACTTACCCCTCCCACTTGTGGTAGTTTTACTGATATTTCTTATCCTGTGCGAATTGGCCATTAATATTACCGACGTCCTGTGGTAAAGTGACATTACCCTACATGCCCATGTAAAACTAATCCCGTCCGAATAGTGCTTTATTCTCTTCTCATTTGCCAAATTCAGTGGCCCATATCACTATTTTTCAAACTGCATGAACTCAGTTTCCATAGGAAAGCCGTCCTTGAGGCTTTTGTCCTACAAAAGTGGGCGTGACTTCACGAATTCACAAATGTCAGGTGGCCGACAAACTGACAGGAAGAGATACCAAGACTGTGAAAAACCCCTTTCACACGTATAAATGGATGTACAAATGCCTTAACATGATTTTACATGTATTTGTTGAAACTATTTACATTTATAAAACCTAAGATTTGTATGGGAAATTAAACAAGTTTCAGAGTAAGTTATGCTTATTTGCAAATCACTGTATATTCCTGGATATGACTTTACACAAAACAAATAAAAAATGTTTGTATGTTTCCTTGGTAAACAGTTTTGATCCTCTTCTGTGGGTTACAACTATTAAGTCCAAAATAACTTCCATATTTGTGCATGTTTGCATGTGTGTGACTGTGTGTTCCACACTAATTACTGTAAAGGCCAGGCAGTTACATGTAAGTAGCCAAGCCATTAACCAGAATATGACTTCTGAAAACTGTACCACAAGGAAAAAGAAGAAATTCACAGAGAGCAAATTTAAAAAGTTAATGAGAGCAGCAGAGCTCTCACAGGCTTTTGCCCCGGTCATTTGAAAAGCAGTAAAACCTCATCAATCTGGTTTGTATTCTTATTAAAACCAGTGAAATTAGATAATGTAGTTAACTTTTATTTTCCCTATAAGAGCCCAACTGTGTGCATTAACAAACAGGCTTGAATCGCATCTATAAATGGCAGAGTTGGATAACAGTGTGAGACCGGTCTTTTGGCCGGAGGTTGCACCAGTTCATGTTGCTGGCCCCCTCCTCTCCCCTTAGACCTGGCCTGGTCTGCACTGGCTGAAGCCTTGCTAAACATTGGCATCCTGACGGAGGTAATGAGTGCAGCTACTGCTACTGCAAAGGCAGCTCTAGGTCTGGGGCCAAGGTAAGGATAAGGGCCATAAGGACATGGAAATCAACCTTACTAACATGACACACAAACTCACACAGTATACATAATATAAAGGTAATAGAAAATCTGTTGTACACTCAAAGAATAACATGTTTTTTCTCTTTCTAAATGATTGTTCTTTTCAACAAAAGAGGATTATCATTTTTAGCAGCTTGATAATATTTTGTATCTATTAAAGGTTCAGTGTGTAGGATTTAGGGGGATATATTGCCAGAAATGGAATATACCGTAATATAATAAGTATGTTTTCTTTAGTGTATAGTCACCTGAAAATAAGAATTATTGTGTTTTCGTTTCCTTAGAATGAGCTGTTTATATCTACATAGGGAGTGAGTCATTGTCCATGGAGTCCACCATGTCGCTCCGCCATGTTTCTACAGTAGCCCAGAGTGGACAAACCAAACACTGACTCTAGATAGGGCCATTTGTGTTATCGTGTTGGCCACCAAAGTTAACAGCCCCTCCATGACGAGCAAAGCTGTAAAACACAGATTTCTTTTTAACCTGTAACTGTTTTATTCTGTGTTTTTACTGGTTTAAAACATCAGGTCCATTTGTTTTGGAGATGAGGAGACTTCTGTGGATAATTTGACTCTCAGTAAAAAAAACCTCCTAAACATCTGGATCTTAAGTTATCAGAGAAAAGGGTTAAGCACACATTAGCAGGTGGTAGGTTAGCAGCCCATCTTCGCCATGCCAGACAGTGTTGAAGAGACACTGATTTGCAATGTGAAACTGCTTTATTTAGTGTTTTTACTGGTTTCAGTCAACTGGTCTGTTCAAGACCTCTGCTGATAATCCGGCTCATGGTAAAAAAAACTCCTGAATGTCTGGATCAGAAATAAGGTGAGCACACGTTAGCAAGTGCTGGGCGAGTGGGCCAACTAATGTGCAGGACAGCCTGGGAGGAACACTGATTTGTAATGTGAAACTGCTTTATTCAGTGTTTTTACCAGTTTAAATCACCTGGTCTGTTTGATCTGGAGAAGAGGAGAACTTGGCGCTGTGGTGCTCCGGGAAGCCATGGGGTTTAAAGTGCTGAACAAGAACCACAACATCAACACAACTTCAAATCCAGAGCGGCTTGTTGCAAGTCATTCCCTTCATCTCTCTCCCTCCATTTCCTGTCATGTGTCTACTGTCTACTATGTGACAATGGCACGAAATGCCTACAAATGCAGGAGTTGTACTTGGGACTTTTTAAAATTTCACATTATTTACAGTAGTCAGTTAATAAAAGTATGATGTAGTTATTGTCACACAAGAAACCTGAGGTATTTTGGGCCCCTAAGAGTCTGTGGCGTTGGGGCAGGTGACCAATTTGTCCAGTTGGTATCCAGTAACAAATCCATCATGTATGAAGTGCATTACATAGTTTAATTTATCAGTTATCATTTATCAGTAGTGTATTTGTGTAGGCTGACCACTTTTTGATGTTACTATATTTCACACCATCTATGATACAATTTTTTTTCTTTATTATTTTTTTTTATATATACTTTATCAATCCCAGAGGGGAAATTCATTTTTTTTGTATGCATATTCATGTGCTGCAGGGATAATGGTAATGAAAGAAAAGGAAATTATATTTCTGGCTAATGCCATGCATAAAGGATAACACAATATTACTAGAACAGCATGTCGATTATGGTCTTTACTCTAATAAATTCTCTCTGTGGATGTGAAATGATCAATTTAAGAGTTAATGGTGTTCAACTTAACTCTATAATTTAATTCACTGAACATTTATTGTTTGGTTATTGAACAATCTAAGGTTTTTCTGTGTCAGTGGCCAGGACACATTGCAGTAGTTTGGAAAGAGGCCTTCCCACGTCCGTCTCATCACCTTTATGAATCTCCAGTACGCTCTCATATCAGCTGTCAGATATGAATCAGTTCCAGCGCAACAAACAAGTAAACAACTGATGAACCTATGGCAGTGTGCTCTTCTTTTTCTTGAGGGAAAAAAATCAGAAAAAAAAACTGGACAACCGTACGATGACAGGACACCCTGATATAGTGTGATAAATACCTGTGCCAACTGGTAAACATTATAACAACTGCATAATAATCAAATGCCTAACTGCCCTCCAGCACCCTCCACACACACATACACACACTCCATGGCATCTTAACTGATGGAAACTTCCCTCCCTGGCATAGTGTGGGCTGTCAGTGTGGTCCGTTTCCTGCCAGGACTGAACCAGCTGAGCCAGGGACTCATGTTCCACTCATGAGGCCTTCAATCACTCTTACCCCCACCGCAGGCACATCGTAGTGGCTGTGAGGTCAGACGCCGGGGCATAGGGTCTGAATGAGAGATGGGACGAGGTCTCCCTCTGCTGCTGTCTCCTCATATGTGCCCTGAGAAAATACTCACAGCAGTGACATGTCCAAAATAGAAACACATTTTTAAAAAGAATATGAAACAAGATTATTAACTATTATCAAAGAGGGATATGAAAGCTGTTGGTCTTAATGGGAGAAATGTATTTACAGGGGAAAAAATCCATAACTGACAAGTGTAAACTGAATATTTTGTATACAAAGGCACTAATATAGTTTCACTATCACTATCACTATTTTAATGTCTATTATGGATATCTAGCTCTCCATCCTCCATCCGTGATGAATATACACTACTCTGTACGTGCATATGAATAAAACACTTTTTTTTTTGCATGTGTGCAGATCTCAAATGGCAAGATTAAATTAAATATGAGAATTAATATTGAAAGAATGCCAACATTAAATACCATACACATTTGAGATGTGATCTATGTGTTCACTCAACTCAGAGTATTTTGAGCAATTTTGACAAAATGCAGAGGAATTATTAGGTTTGAGAAACATTCAGCAGATTTACTGGATTGGTAAGAGGTTGACTTGTCAGCACAGTATCATCAACAGTCTTGTGTTTAACACCAAAACACCTAATGGGGCTATTATTGTCACTAACTGTTTATTGCTCAGAGTTTTTAAATGAAATCCTCTTGCTAACAAAGGCAGATTGGTGGCAGGTATTTAAAGATAAATAAAGATAAATACTATTGGAGTAATGAGTAAATTCTGATACTTTTCTGCTCCTATCCAATATTTTTAGCCAGTATCTTTTGCTTTTATAACTGGTATATGCCTTTGCAGTTGAGCTGCAACTTTTACATGATTAGTTGTCGACTATTAAATTAATTGTAGACTAATTTCTTTATAAGAAGAATAAATCTCTGGTTTTAGCTTCTTAAATGTCAATATTTTCTGGTTTCTTTACTCCTCTATGACAGTAGAATGAATATCTTTGGATTGTGGACAAAACAAGACATTTGAAGATCACATCTTAGGCTTTGGGAAACACTGATGGACATTTTCACCATTTTTTGACATTTTATAGATCAAACAACTAATGGATTAATGGAGAAAAAAATCAACAAATGAATCAAGAATGAAAATAGGTGTTAAATGCAGCCCTGCTTTCTATGTGTTTTCAGATTTTAAAGACACATTTGCTGTCTTATAATTAAGATTTCATGGACTACAAAATATCTTCTTAAAATCCTTAGATTTGTTTTGTTGAAGTTAAGAGACAACTTTAAACTCATTAGGCCTAAACATCCCTGATCTAAACAGGTCTAATTAAGGATACTTCCTTGACCCAGTGTAGCACAGAAATATAAGATCCTAAGAAAGATATAAATACCCCCACTTCACCTTGAATCCCTGTTTTGAAGCTGCAGGCCTTTTTTACATTCATACTGAAGCCCTATGAAGTTTTCTTCAAGGACATGGATTACATCCACTGCGCGTGCGCTGAGGGAGTGTCCCCGGAAGTAAATCATTGCACGTGTAGCATTTGACAACCTTGAAAAGACTACAAAACAACTACCTGGCAGCTTGTGTCTCAGGACAAACAGTTCCAGAGATGCCAGTAACAAGACTACTGTAAGTATCGAGTCTTTTATTCTAATTTATAGGCGTGAATATTCAAAGAGACATCCCAGCGAGACACTGCTAGTCCTCTTTAAGGCAGTGTCGATAAGCTAGCAAACCAAGCTAATGTTAGCATGTGTTCTTTCCAGCTGTCTGTAACATGTCTGACTGCAGCTTCTCATACACGCTGTTTTAATTTATTTAACACATCGTCGGTACGCTTTAATCAGCTATATGTGTGTTACTGTGAAGTTTAAATGGTGTAAACGCATCAATAGCGTGTCTAGCATTAGCCAGCTATGCTAAAAACAAACTGCCGTTAACGTGCAGCTAGAGTCGTAACAGCATCAGACACCCAGGTCAGTGTAATTACTTCTAGATAGTAAAGCTACTCACATGTGACAGTAATGTTATCGTAATTCATTCGATCATGTAGCTTTCAACAATTTTTGATTTGCCATTAACTGAAAATAAATGTCTGTGTGAGACTGTTTTATCCCCCATGTGTAGAGGTTGTGTTTATGTCAACACTTATGCCTCTTTTGTCATTGTCTATTTCCTTTTGCATTATTTTGAACCCTTGGGAGATGGTGTATAAGATAGTTTTTATTGCTTAGCAGGCTTCACACAGGGTTAAAGGACAACTGCAGTTTATTTTGACTTTTTTGTTGTCGTGACTATCATTTTTATTGGTAGTGAAAACATTTTACTTACCAAATTATTTGCTTATATCTGGGAACACTGCAGCATCGCTGCAGTAAAGTACCACAGGGCAAAAAACAAGCATATAGATGATACAACGTTATAAACAACTAAAACATGGAGTCCACACTATAAACCACATAATTTGAAGATAAAACTGACAGTTGGTGTATCTGTAATGTTGGTTATTCCTCATTATAGTAACATGTACTTCTCCTCTGACCAGGAATGACTCACCATCTTTCTTTCTTATAGGAACAGTGTGTAGAGATTTAGGGAAATGTTGTGGTGTCTCACGGTGAGGATTGCAGATTGCAACCAGTTGAAATGTATCCTTATTAGAGTTCCTTCAGTGTTCATCGGTCAGGAGGTTTTTACTGTTAGCCAGTCCACAGAGGTCTCCACCTCTCTCAAACAAATGGACCTGGTGATTTAAACGTGTAAAAACACAGAATAAAGCAGTTTCACTTTACAAATCAGTGTTTATTTGACGCTGTTTGGCATTTTGGTTAGCCCGGCACCTGCTAATGTTTGCTCAAGTTTTTCCTCTGATAACTTAAGATCCAGACATTCGGGAGGTTTTGCTTGGAGCTAAATTATCCGCAGTGGTCTCCTCCTCTCCAAAACAAATGATTTAACACCAGTAAAAACACTAAATAAAGTAATTTCATGGCAAAAAATGTGTGTTTTTCTGATGCTGCTCATCGCAGAGGGGCTTCCAGTGTGTGGTTTGTCTGTTCTGGCTACTGTAGAAACATAGAAACAGATCTCTAATCTCTGATCTAGAGTCCCGCTCCATATAAATGGCTCATTCAAAGGTAATGAAAATGCAACAATTCTTGTTTTCATGTGATTATACACTAAAGAAAACATATTTATTATATTATATTATATTCCATATATGCCAGTGTATCCATCTAAATCCTACACACTGGACCCTTTAAAGAAACTCTCAGGGCCATTGTTTTTCTTTATGTAACTAACAAAACAAATCTCAAAGAAGCCATTTTCTGCAGTTTTCAAGTGAGCTGGGTACGAACATAAGGAGATATATAAATCTTCCAGCTGATTTCAGAGAAAAAGCTCTGCCAAACCCTCAATCTGTACACGTAATGCCCAGCACCAAAAAGCAGACAAAGTTTTTGACCAGCTGGTGAACATAGTGGAGCATTTAGCAGCTAAGGAGCCAAATACTTCCGTATGTCATTACGTACGTCACATGAAGGCACAGCGTGTGGTTTGTGTGATTTTGGATGGCAAACCACAAGCAATGATCACATACTTTTGGGGTTTGATTACACAACTGTCTTTTGAAAGAGATCTTTTTTTTTTTTTTTTTTTAATTGTCTTTGCTTTTATCAACTTTTGACAACAACTGGCTATAGCGAATGAAACTAAAACTGACCGCACAATTCTGCATGATTACGTGGGCAGCTCTGACATCTTCTCAGTTGTTAGTGCGGTTGTAGGAAATACTACAGAATGTCTGGAAGCAATACTGTGGATAATAAGAGTCTGCCTCTCCCCTCAGATACCCTCTCTACCAGCTGGGAAACCCTCAGCTCAGGATCTTCAGACCCAACTGGTTCCTGACTCTGGTGAGGCCGGGTAAAGAGCAGCCTCCTGACACTGTGCAGTTTCGAATCCCAATGGAGTAAGTCTTTGCTTACAGAACTTCCCTGTCATTGTGCAGAGATGCATTCAATAGTAATTGAATAAAATTAAGTTTCAATCACTTTAACACATATTTTGGTAAGTCAAATTGTATGTGATGTAGGCAATATTACATCATCTTCAGGTGTCGTGTCTCCTACTGTTAAAAATGTTTGTGACACAGGTAATGTTCTCGCAGAAGAGTCTACTGTGAATGTTTACTTTGAATGTCATGTAAAAAATGGATAGTTCTTTTGCAGTGGGGGTTGTGTGAGGTACTTATCCAGAGTCAGTGTGTTACCTTCAGCAGAAGTCAGTTGGCATGCCCCTAGTTTGGCGAAGCACGCATGAGTAACACCGTGGAAGCCAAGCAATATACTGCTACGGAATGGGCAGCAACAAAATGTACTTTAGCCACCTAAAAAAAATCTGCATCCGTTTAAGTGTACACTATATTGAGAATATTTTCACCTCTTTACCTTGATGTAGACGGCTCTTTCTTGTCAAAGTCACCAGTCTCTATTGACAAAAGCAGCAATTTTATCCCTATGGACATGACAGCTTCTGGTCTACCTCTGCCTTGATCAGTTTGTTAGTTTTTGTTATTGTGTGACTTTGGTAATTCCAGACTAATCCTTTTAAACTCTAAAGTCACACAACAACACATAAAAAATCCCCTAACTGATCGAGGCAGCAGCAGACCAGAAACTCCTGCTTTCAGCAGTAATAAATTACTGTTTTCCTCGATGGAGTCTGGCTTTGAAGAGAGTGAAAGGCTTCAGTTCACTATTGGAAATTGCTGTCTGGCGTCAAGGCAAAGCAGTGAAAATATTCTCAATATATCGTACACTTAAACTGATATTGATTTTGTGGGTGGCTAAAATACGTTTTGCTGCAGCAGTACATTGCTTAGCTTTCATGTTAGCACTCCTGCCTACTTTTCCAAACTGGGGGTGTGTCGACTGACATCCACAGATACACTGACTATGATTAAGTTTCTCATACAACCCCTCTTAAAAAGATCCGACTATCCCTTAAGTGCCTAGACCTACTTTATTTAAGTGTGTTCTTAAATTACAGTTTTCAGACCACGTTTGGCACACATTTCTTAGTATCAATTGATAATGTCTGTTGTTATTAATTATTACTGACAAATGTCAAAATTACAAATGTCAAATCTGACTTGAGGCATCTGATCTAATCCAATTTTGTTTATGGATAACTTAGAGCCATACACCACATATTACAGTACATCCATTCCTCTAATATTGCCACTGCACACAATCACAGTTCCTTAAATGATAAACTGCTTAATTGCGTATGTTCATCATAGTATTCGTCTTCTTAAAGTACAGGCTGCTCAACCTCAGAGCAGCACTGTAGAGCTTACCACATGTTTTCAGCAGATTGGATGATAACTCTCACAGGGGCCCGAACTTTGAGGATGAAGGTGACTGCACCAACTCCTATAGCAAAATTTACAGTGCTTCTTAAAAATAAATTCTCACAAGCTGATGGCCTGTATGAGCTGTAAATCTTACTATTATGAGACTACAAAATTAGTTGTTTTATTTGGCATCCAAGTTATTTTAGCGTATTGCTTTTGTTAGACTATAGTAGTAGTTTAGCGTCATTCAGAACTATTATATAATGAACACATGTTTCACGTTTTGGGCTGCAATAATTTGTTTGTACTGGCACTGAAGCAGTCTAGTTGGCAGAGTATTATGTAGCTGAAGTTGCGCATCGTGGCCACCAGGTGGCGGGACAGCCTCAAGAACAGAAATCGGCGGCTCAGTCCTGAACAGCATAGAGAGCTCTTACCACCATACGTCTGTCTTTAATGAGCTGAGTTGCAATGATGACTTGCGAAAGGCTAACATGGGCAGCGGGGTGGGAGGTGAGGTCAAAAGTGCTTTTATTTGGCGCTGCAGTGGAGGTTCGGGCCATGTTGTAGACAGCGAGACGTCAAACATTAGTCATCTGAGGGAGCCAATATTAATATCTACACAGAAAATGAAAGCGAAATGTTCTTGATCATGCTCCAAAACTCATGTCCAGTGGGGTTTACTATATGTAATACCACTTTACTGCCTCCTAATTTTACATATAAGCATGCTTTATATATTTACAGTGCATACTGTGTATTTTGTTTTTTTTGTTTTATGGCTAGTCAATTTGGTGGGTTTGGACAAAACGTATTCTGCCATAAAACGCAACAGGAGGTCTTTTCCAGTCAGCACTTAGTAGTGATGAGCTGATTTTGACTACCTCAGCGAGCCAAGGTCACTGAGGTTAGCAGTGCTCCTCAGGCGATGAGAGGGCCAGAGCCCACACTGGGGAGAAAAATTGAAGTTTGAGGCAGATCATCTATGTGTCTCTGGTGGGGTTTAGACCATAATCTGTTCATCCAGGTGCCTGGCCTCCCACTCTGATTCTTTCCTCTTCTCTGCCAAACTCCTAGGGTGCTTATGTAATTGTGTGTGTGTCTGTGTGCACGCTTGTCAGTGTGGGTTAGTCAGTTTGTGAGAATGGTGTGTGTCTTTGTGTATATATGCACAAAAGTGGGTAAGTGCAGGGTGCGTGTGTGTTTATAAGGGTGTGTAAGGGTTTTTTCCTCGCAGTCTTTGATGCCTGGGAGAGGTACATGGCTGATTGATATGCTGCTGGGGCCTCAGTGTGCGTTTGAAACACTGCTATTTTTTTTTATACTCACAATGTAGTAAATGGACACACATAGAGAGACAGTGACACAAACCAAATATCACTCCCACTCCCAGCTTATTGATGAGTCTGAGTCAGTACGGCAGTGAAAGCTGTTGTAGCTATGACTCTCAAGGGTAGGCGGTGTTGGCGTGGGTAAGTTGTAGTGCCGAGCAGCTGCTAATGAGAAGTGGTAATGTTGGCGTTCTCAGGGCAATAACACAAGGTGGCCTTTGTCTCATCGACACCTGGGAGCTAGATATCTATGCTTGTCTGTCTTCTTCTCTCTTGCCTTCTTTTTCCAGTTTACTTGCTTGTTTGCTGTATCGCTTGCTATCATCTGCACATGTCTTTCTCCGTCCCACCCTGGGCTCCTCTGTTTATTGTGCTTTTCTTAAACGCTTTGCAACACGTCCAAAACCAATCCCTCTTTGGCACTTGTTGTTTGAGACACCTGGGTTGCGTTCTCTCGTAATTCTCTTTCTACCTGCTGGAGGGACATACTGTATTTGTTTGTCTTTTTGATTGTTCTCAAACCTTTTGTGCTATGTTAGTATTTCCTCTCCGCTCGACAAGGAACATCATCAAATTTCTGGGTCTACACCCACACACACACACACACACACCTCTTGTGCCTCACCTGGCATGGCTAGAGGCCAGCGGCAACACACACACACGCACAAAGAAAAGAACACAATGCTGAATGTTGTGTTCAGTCTACTACTCAGTCACATTTCATGCTACTATGCCGTCTTAATAACTATGAAACCAGACCATGCTGCGGTTTCTCACTGTAATCAGACATGAGCAAACTGACCCTGTTACACAGCAGCTCACATTGTCTTTCCACTGTGACAAGCGTTCAGTACCTGTTGGATCCGACAGTGTTATGATCGCCATGGCAATCACTCTGTTTCTCTTCCACTTCATAAACACGTGGCTCAAGCTGGAAACTGGGTTATTTTTCACGCTAATTAACCTCAGTTTATGTCATAGGAAGTCATTTTGCGAGCCAGCAGAGGAGTGGCGAGTCTTTACTGACCTGTCTCCCTGTAAGGAGTTTAGTGACTCCTGGTGACCTGGTCTTTGATCTATTTCTGTTCCATTGTCAGACCAGAACTCGAACAATAAATCTAATCCTTCACACGCTGCTCTTATACTCTCAACTTCTCAACTGTCTCTCCTCTCCCTAAGTCTCAGGTTCCTCAATGGCTTTCCCTCCAAACAAAGTCTGCTATTATGATCTTGATACTTAGTGCTGAGCAACTTCTGTGCATGTATTGTCTCCGTAGATGGGAGGGTTAAAGTAGTGAGTGCGCATATCTCGACCCAAACCTGACAATGGGGCAGGCTGACAATGAGGAGCGGCTTTCTTTTGCCTTTCATCTGCGCAGAAAACAACTCTCCTGTTTCATTCTCACCACTAAGCCGCTCTGACACAATGTACTTTGATGTTGTGTGTGTGTGTGTGTGTGTGTGTGTGTGTATGTGTGTGTACGTGCGTATGGACTGTTTGTTGTACCTTGGATATTTACCGTACACTGTGTTAATAAAGGTTGCACATAAAGTGATGTCTGAGAGGCATATCAGGACACAAAGTTAATACGTCAGAGGGACAATGCAGCTGTTTGGTATTGAGAAATGCTATTTTGAGATCACTGTTTGTAGTTTGAGTTCATTTAGGTCTACCTTAGAGCTGCAGCAATTAATCATATAGCTGTCAACTATTTAATTATACACCAACTAATTTCATAATCAGTTAATTGCTTGCCAGACTTCTCTGATTCCAGCTTCTTAAATGTGAATATTTTCAGGTTTATTTACTCCATTATAAAAGTAAACTGAATATCTTTGGCTTGTGGACAAAACAAGACATTTGAGGACGTCATATTGGGCTTTGGGAAACACTGACTGACATTTTTCACAATTTTCTGGCATTTTATAGTCCAAACTAACTGATTATTTGAGAAAGTAATTGACAGATTAATTGACAGTGAAAATAAGAATGTGTTGCAGCCCTAATCTGCCTATGTAAGATATTATTTTCTGCTTATTACCTTACATAATTTTGCTGCATGAGGTGATGTGAGAACAATTCAAACAGAACGTTCTGTCAGCATACTTTAAAAATAACAACTGCACCAGCCTTAATAAAAGCTAGGCCGTCACCATTGTATAAATGTTCTTTTTGCAGGGCTACATAAGGCAACGTAAATACAGGGGAAAAATGAGCCGTATAGTTGATGATGTGTTGAAGGGTTGAGGTTCCTCCAAAGCGTAAGCGCCTGTCGCCTGCAA